GGGTAGAAGCCAGGATGTTATGCTCTGCAGTCAACTACCCACAACTCCCAGCCTTTATCTGGGTTTTAATTTGATAATTTACCAGTTTAGGGCAACAGACTGACTGCTGGAGAGCTTGTTTCCCCTAAGTCTCCTTCTTAGGGAAACTCCCTGGATCCTTGTATAACTCATCCCCGTCTCAGCCATTTTCTAAACAAATGTCCATTCTTGCCCTACCCTCTCCAGCATCAGAGAGTTGGGGAGTATAGCCTTGTCTTCTGGTGCTCCTTGCCCATAAAATTCTCCTGGCTAACAAGGCCTTGGAAATACAAGGCAGAGATGAACTGGGCATTGCTTCTCAAACCCATCCCATCTCAGGGAAGCTGAAGGATAGTTAGTTGTCCTCCTAGCTTCTTGAAACTGTCCTTGAAGCTGGACATGGTGGCTCACACCTGTAATCCTAACCCTTGGGAGGCTGGGGCAGGAGGATTATCACTGGTTGGAGGCCAGCCTGGGCTATATAGAATTCCAGATCAGTCTAGGCTACAAGGGAGACCCCATATCAAAAATTTAAAATAAGAAAAGGTAGGAAGGAAATAAAGAAATGAAAAAAGAAAAGAAAGAGAATCCAAGCTAACCACTGGAAAAAATAGAAAGCCATAAAATATTAGTCGTATGGTACTTTTTTTGGGGGGGATAGGATTCCTACCCTAGGCTGGCCTCAAACTCTCTATGTAGCCAGGGATTGTTACTGTTTTGTGTTACTGACTGGGTTCATTTTCACCACTGACTAAAAACTTATAATATTGGGGCTGGAGAGATGGCTCAGAGGTTAAGAGCACTGTATGTTCTTCCAGAAGTCCTGAGTTCAAGTCCCAGAAACCATATGGTGGCTCACAACCATCTATAATGAGGTCTGATGCCTTCTCCTGGGGTACAGGCTTGTTCACAGATAAAAAAAAACTGTATGCATAATAAATAAATAATTTTTAAAAATTTATAATATTGTAAGGCAGGAACAATCTCAGATACAGCAGGCAGCAACAAGTGACAAATTTTATCATAAGTAAAGAAACATACACACACACACTGACACACTCACACATACACACACTCACACATACACACACTCACACATACACACACACTGACACACACTCATACACACTCACACATACACACACACTGACACACAGACACACTCACACATACACACACACACTGACACACAGAGACACACATACACACATACACACACACTGACACACAGAGACACACACACACACTCACACACACACACTCTCACACACACACACACACACACACAGAGCTCCACAGAGAAAGACCCCCTGCAGAGCAGAGAGGGGCCTGAAATACATTCCCCAACAAAGGTCCAGGGGTCTCAAGTGTTCTTGCTGGCCTGGGATGGGTCCCCTTCCCTAATATGGGTTTGGTCCACTGAGGCTAAGGGGGAGCTGGCAGAATCACAGCTTCAGGTGAACAAGTTCAGAATGGCCTCCCTCTTGTCCAAGCCAGCCTGGACTGGCCAGCCAGAATAGGCCTGGTGGTGGGAGAACGACCCCCCCCCCCAGACCTTTGTGTCAGGTCGGAGGGTAAAGGAGAAGCTGGAGTTTATCACTCTTATTATCTCTGTGTCCCCTGCCCCTTCTGTCATCCTGTCTATCAGAATGACCACCAACTTCAGATATGTCCCCGCCCATCTCCTTATTTCTGGGATCACAGATCCACCATCACATCCAGTTTTGTATTGGATTTTTAATTTAGTCTTTCTGTTTTTGAAACAGTCTCATGTAGCTCAGGGTAGCCTGACCTAGAACTCATCATGTAGCTGAAGCTAGCTTTGAAATCCTAACTTTCTTTAATTTTTTTTAGATTTGTTTATTGTATATGTACAAATGTTCTGCCTGCATGTATGTGCACCACCATGTGTGTACCTGGTGCCCAGGGAGGCCAGAAAAGGATGCCAGATGCCCATTGAACCAGAGTTACAAATGGTCATGAGTTACAATGTGGGTCCTGGGAACTGAACCCTGGTCCTCTGCAAGAGCAGACTCTAGGTGGCTGGGCCATCTCTCCAGCTAGGACTTTTATTTTTAGATTCTTATTTATTTCAGTAGGAAAATCCTGTGATCTCCCTTCTCACAGATAGCAACTCATCCTTAGTGGAGCTCAGGTAAGAGACCCTTCCAAGGACATACGTGTCTGTCTGTCCTCACACACTGGAGAAGGGAGAGCACGTGAGGTTCACTTCTGATGTGTCCGTGACTTCGCATGGAAAGGATTAGCATACATATGTCTTTCGTCATCACTCTCAAATAATGCATTGGAGTCAACTCTGGAGATTTCTTAGGAACAGAGAACAGCTCAGGATGCCGACTCTTTCTTGGACATGTAGGCTGCTGACGAGGCGTAGCAGCTATGGGAGTTAGTAATGTTAATCATCATATAGTTCAATGAAAACTTTCTGTTCCTGTTCCTACTTAATAAAAATAGCAAGAGAAGCATACACGGATTAGGAGAGGAAAAAAAGTCTGGACAGCAAATTCCATTCCACCCACCACATCTTACACGATAGGGATCAGAGGACAACTCCCAAGGACCTCTTCCTTCTGGCCTTGTGTCCTTCCTGTATTTGGCTGGCCCTGCTGGGTGTGTGGTCTAGGCAGGACTCTGGCTCCCAGCAGCACTGCTCGCCAAGTGCCACCACCTTGCAGCTGATGACATGACTGAAGGGGGCTTGGACAATCTTCAGAGCACATGTGAGTCAGACAGCTACCGGCAGCAGAGTAGGAACTTCAGGTCTGTCTGTTCCCAGACCCCAAGCACCTTCAGCCTGCCACCCCACTCTCTGCCTCTGATTCTAGGAGAAAAAGGCTTCAAAGGGCTCACAATCTGCTTAAGGACAAAGATGAATCACATAAAAGCCATTTTCTTCACTGTGCATTGGGAATTCTTTTTTTTTTTTTTTTTTTTTTTTTGGTTTTATGAGTCAGGGTTTCTCTGTATTGTTTTGGAGGCTGTCAGTCCAGCCTGGCCTTGAACTCACAGAGATCCGCCTGCCTCTGTCTCCCGAGTGCTGGGATTAAAGGCGTGCGCCACCACTGCCCGGCCGTGCATTGGGAATTCTAATCCAAGCATCACACCAGATGCCCTGAACTGCAGAGAATTTGAAACCAGAGTATCCTGAGTAATGTCAGAACTGTCTGTGTGCAGGGCAGTGTGCAGGGCAGCGTGCCCGTGAGGAGCTGGACAAGCCAGCACTAACACCCTGAATGTCAGTGGAATAGCCAGCTGCAACTGCTACTATCCACCTGGTGTTTACTAGTACCTGGGTTTTAGTCTCTTATAGGGTTTGATACCATCAGTCCACTCTATTACAGTCAGTAGATGTTTGCTTGCTTATTGAGACAAGGTTTCTCTGTGTAGCTCTGGCTGTCCTGAAACTCTCTATGTAGACCAGGCTGGCCTCAAACTCACCTGCCTCTGATTCCTGAGCAAGTATTGGGATTAAGGGCATAACTAACTACACCCAGTTTCCTTTTAACTTTTTGAGATAATGTCTCATGTAGTCCAGGATGACCTCAAACTCACTATATATCCAGGGTAACCTTGAACTCGTGATCCTCTTCTCACCTCCAAGATGTTAGAATGTCTTAGATGTTAGAATTTCAGGCATTTGTCCCATCACTGATTTTTGTCCTCTTCACTTATGACTGCCTCACCTGGGAGTGGCCCATCTGCCCTTCCATGACATCAGAAGTCTCCACATTCTTGTTCACACCCCTGGAGTTTGCCTCAATCATTGTTTACTGGTTGGATTTTATCCCTTGGCCATTGTCTCAAGGAAAGGTGTAGCCTGACAATGGGACTTACTCCTCCATGATCCGGTCAAACTTTGATCTGGGGAAGGCCGACAGTATCTTGTGCTGGGACAAACATTCTTTGCTCTATCTCCTCCACGAACCTTGCTGTGTGCTCTTCACGTGTCCGCCCACCGGGACTTCCAAGGTCTCTTGAGTGACTTCCTTAAGTGACTTCTGAGACGGGGACATGCAGGAGAACTGGGGAATCACCATCTTTGAGGTTGCCAGTCCAATAAATCTACAGACTTCCTGTTACAACTGGGAACACTGAGGCCTGGGATAAGGGTACATCTATGAGAATGGACAGATTCCAGGTCAATTTCCTCAGACCATGAAGCAAATAGCAAGCGCAATTGTGCTTCTATATTATAAACGCTGTGAATAACTTTATGGTTTTGGTCAGTGTTGTGAGTGTATCTTCTTTTGTTAGTGCTAGGGATCTAGATGGCCTGGTACTTGGCACTGTGTCACTGAGCTCTCCACACTAATGTCTTACAGGGGCTTCTCTGAGAGCTGGGGGGTTAATATCAAGCTGAGGGGACAGGAACTCTTATGTTAATATCATAGTTGAACTCTTTGAGTGCCAAGTTTGTAGAAGATGCTTAAACTCCATTTATTGGCTGTGGCTTGGGCCACAGAATAGAGAAAAGAGAAAATGAAGTAGATGAAGGGATTAAGAATTAATATACAGCTGTGAGGTGGTTGCGTATGCCTTTAATCCGGGCATTCAGATCTCTGTGAGTTTGAGGCCAGTCAGATCTGGAAAAACAAAGCAAAACAACAACGAAAAAGAATTAAATTACACGGTAATTAACATTTGGTGCCACCGCCTTTGTGTTTTTATTTATTTCTGGTGCTAGGACTAAGCCAAGTTCCTCTCTTACCACAGGCGAGTGCACCAAGCTACACCCTGAAGCTACCAGGACTCTCTTTAAGACACCAAGTCCCAAACACAAGAAATAAATCCCAACCCTCAAAAGAGTGGGGCCTTGGCTCTGTAGCCTGACTTTCTCCCTCCCATGACCCCCACCCCTCCACAGTTGGGTAGGTCCTGAGACATAATCTCCAAGCCCCTCCGTGAGATCTGAGGGTCAGCTGACGGGAAACTGGTCCTATTGTATGTAAAAGACTCCTAATTAAGCTTTCTCTATTCCAACTGTGCCAAGTGGCAGGCACTTAGATCTCCCTGGAAAGAGAATCTCAGCTGGTCCCACTCCTGTTCGAGCAGTCCAGGAAGGCTAGGCACAGGGCTCGGAGGCAGGTGAGTGGCCAGAGGTATGAACTTTCCTTCCTGTCTTTTCAGAATGTAACTGGTGGTTCTCCTGGGGGGGGTTAAGGTAAAATTAGGCCTGTTTTTCTTTACAAAGAAGACATCACCAGGTACTAGGCCTTTGTGTTTCAGCTCTCAGTTGGTTTGCCTTAGATACATGCACAGCTGCGTCACATTGGGGAAGAAATGAAGACCGGAAGAGTTTGGACTCAAGGCCACACTGGATGAGGGGCTGAAGCTTGGGGACATGGAGGGAATAGAGTCTACTAGGGGTTTCACTCCAGGCATTGTTAGTCCATGTTCCCGGAGCTAGCTCTCTCTCTCTCTCTCTCTCTCTCTCTCTCTCTCTCTGGTTTTTTGAGACACTGTTTCTCTGTGTAGCTCTGGATGTCTTGGAACTCACTCTGTAGACCAGGCTGGCCTCACACCCAGAGATCCTCCTGCCTCAGCCTCCGCAGTGCTGAGATTAAAGGTGTATGCCGACACCACCGTCTGGCCCATGCTGTTCTCTTTCTCTGTTGCTTCTTTCTCCTAAGGAAGCCTCGGCTGTGACTTTCATAGTGCTTTGAGAACAACTCTCTTTGCTGATGGTAGACAGGATCCCTGACTTGGAGTCTGGGGACCTGGATCAGAATCTTGGGTTGACTTCTGCCAAACTAAAAAGCTCTGTCTTTGTCGACAGCTAGGCCCGGACCCTGGCTCTCCCTTTGCTGATTGCATGGTCTGGGGCAAGATACTCTACTTTCCAAGCGTCAGTGTCCTCACCTTAAGAGGAGGCCAGTGCATTTGAGTCCCACAATCCATCCTCTCCTTCTCCTAGGCGGTTTGGGACAAACCTGCAGGGAGGGATGTCACTTGTTCCGCTGGAGTGTCCAAACAGCAGCACTGGGTTAGGCAGGCAAGCCATCTCCATTTCCAGGTCACCCTAGATTACAGAATAAGTTCTAGGCCAGCCTGGGTCACAGAGTAAGGCCCTGGGTCAAAAAAAAAAAAAAAGCAAAATGTGGTGGTGTAGACCTGGAAATTCCAGCACTTGGGAGGCAGAAGGAGGAAGATAGGAAGATCAGGAGTTCAAGACCAACCTCAGCTACATATTGAATTTGAGACCAGCCTTGGTTATGTGAGAGCCCCATCTCAAGAAACAAAAAATCCAGCTTGTTTTGGATTTAGACAAACATTGATTGCCACACAGCCATAGCATTCACACATAAGTAAGGGGTATGATTTGAGATAGAGTTGGAATGAAATTGTATAAGGAACTCATTCCTTATACCCAACATCAGAAAAAAATATTTTCATCCTTTATTGTGTGTGAACATGTTTATGTGTGCAGGTATGTGTACATGTTTATGAGTGCATGTGTATATGTGTGTGTGCAGGAGTGTGTATGCATGCTTATATGTGCAAGTGTGTATGTACATGTTTATGTGTGCAGGTGTATGTATGTGTGCAGGTATGTGTACATGTTAATGTGTTCAGGTGTCTGTATGTACATGTTTATATATGCAGGTATGTGTACCTGTTTATGTTTGCAGGGGTGTGTGTGTTTGTATATGTGAGTGTGTGTGTGATCCACATTGGCTTTTTGTTTAGTTTTATTTGTTTGGTTGGCTAGTTTTTGTTTTTGAGTCAGAGTCTCATCACTTAGCTCTGGCTAGCCTGAAACTCACTATATAGGCGAAGCTGGCCTGAGAGAGATTTACCTGCCTCTGCCACCTGAATACTGGGATTAAAGGCGTGTGCAATCAAGCTGGTTTGTATTCTTTCCTGCCTTGGTTTTAGAGACAGAGTCTGTCACCGAGCCTGGAACTTGCTGATTTGACTGGCCTGGCTGGCCAGCAAGCCTCGGGGAGCCACCTCCCCAGTATGGCACTTGCAAGCACAGACCACCATGCCCAGCTTTTTGTTTGTTTGTTTTTTCCGAGGGCTCCAGGGATGAAACTCGGGTATCTATGCTTGTATAGCACACAATTTATTGACTGAGCTATTTCCCAGCCCATCTTTTGTTTCTTTTAAAACAAAAATCTTGGCTAATATCAGAATCATTGGGGAAACCACTCATGTCCTTGTCCTGAAAACCAGCCACTCGGAGGCACACAGAATTTGTTTTGTTTGTGGTTTTTAAAGAGGGCTAAGGTGGGTATATCTCAGTGGGAGAGTTCTTCCCTAACTTTTGTAAAGTTCTAGATTCAGTCTCCAGCACCTAAATAAAACAATAACCCAACCATCTACCAGGAGTCTGTGAGAAAGAATGCAGAAAGAAGGACAAATTAAAAGAGGAAAAGAGGTGTGACTTCATCCTGGAACCTGGTTTGTTCTGTCCTCAGAGTCCCTCAAGTGGTTCTGATGGGCAACTGGATTTGGGGATGTCTAATTTTAGGTAGTGGGCTCCAGGGACACTGGGGCATTTTTGTCTATAAAACACCAATTCTAAACCAGGTTCAAATCTGTAATTTCATCACTTGAGAAGTTGAGGCAGGAGGATAGTCACCAGTTTGAGGCCAGCTTGGGTAATATAGTGAGTTCAGGCTAGGCTGAGCTAGAGTGAGACCCTATCTCAAGTAACAACAACAAAAACAAAACCTATCAAACAAAACCAATGAAACAATAGTATTTTGGGCTCACTGCGGTTTCTGACATTCATGGACCAGAAGTGATTTTTCCTGTACCCCTTACCTAACAAAGATGAGTCAGGATGAAGCTTCAGAGAGAGCTCCTTATTTATAGATTCCAGGCTCTAAGCAGAGAGTGGAGTTCAGTTTCCTTCCCTCAAAACATTCTAAGGCTCAGCAAATTGTCACAGTGTGACCCTATGTGATAAATGCTTTAGCAAGTCCCCAAAGCCTGAAGAACACTGAAGCCAGCCTTGGAGAAAAAGAATAGAGGAGTTTGATGTATGAAACTTCCAGGTCAAACCTGACCACTAAGCATCTTCTCTCACTAAGCACCCCCCACCATTATGTTCACAGATGGTCCTGGGTCTTGACACAGAGGAAGAGAAAACACACACACACACACACACACACACACACACACACACATACACACACACACACACACAGTTGTTTGAGTTTCTGTTTAAGTAACCTTTTAAAAATTCTATAGCAAGTTTTTGTTTTGCTTTATTATGTTTGAGACAGGGTTTCTCTCTGTAGCCTTTGCTGTCCTGGAACTTGAGATAAAGACCAGGCTGGCTTTGAACTCATGGAGATCCACCTTCCTCTGCCTCCTCAGTGCTGGAATCAAAGGCGTACACCACTATGCCTGGATCCCCACTCCATTTTTTTATTTATTTATTTATTTATTTATTTATTTATTTATTTATTTTTGGTTTTTCGAGACAGGGTTTCTTTGTGGCTTTGGAGGCTGTCCTGGAACTCACTTGGTAGTCCAGGCTGGCCTCGTACTCACAGAGATCCGCCTGCCTCTGTCTCCCGAGTGCTGGGATTAAAGGCGTGTGCCACCAACGGCCGGCCCCCCCCCCCCACTCCATTTTAAAGGTAGGTCTCACTATATAGCCCAGGCTAGCTTCAAATTCATGATCCTCCTGCCTCGGCCTCCAGGATGCTGGGTTTACAGATGCACCTCCCCCCCAACACACATACAAATGAGCTCTCATTTCTGTTGTCTGAGGAAACTGGAAGCATTGTTCCACGTGGAAATAAGAACTATGGGTCTCCTCAGAAGGCCTTTCCTACTGTGCAGGACACAGCCCTGGTGGGGCCTTGGGAGGCCTGGATTTCCTGGCTGGCCCGTAGGGTTAGAGAATTCATTCTGAAATAGGGGTGGGTGGTTCCCTCAACCACCAAGCGTATCAGATGATGTTCTTTATGGAGAGGCAGTTTCAGCTCTGTTGGTTGTTCCTCAAACATTTCTGTCATTTTGATAATGTAAAATTTCACCCTGCCTAATGGCACAAGCCTTTAATCCCAGCACTCAAGAGGCAGAGGCAGAGGCAGGCAAACCTCTGTGAGTTTGAGGACCCAGGTTCAATAACCTAAATAAATAAAGTTAGGTTTCTTTGGGTCCCTCAGACTGGAGTCCCTGTAGCAGGGCCTGTCCATGAGTCTTTCAAGTGCCTTCACATTTAACCGAAAGGGCCTGTGGACATTCCCAGTTTGAAGGTCCACTGGGATGGTGATTTCTATGAGCCACTGTGGTTGGTTGACAGACTTGGATAGAGTAGGTGTTCCATGGGCATCCCTGAGCCAGAGAGAATAGTTTGAATTTCCAGCATATAATACAGAATTACAGGAACCAAGAATCTCTCATCTTGGTTTCATGTAAGTCAATTCTTTTCTGTGAAATGGATTTAGTAAAATGGTTTTGTTTTGATCCTTCCTCTGACCCCCAGACAGGGTTTCTCTGTATAACAGCTCTGGCTGTCCTAGAACTCTCTCTCTGTAGACCAGGTTGGCCACGAACTCACAGAGATCTACCTGCGTTGGCCTCCGGAATGCTGGGATTAAAGGCGTGCGACACCACTGCTCCCCCAGCTTGTTTTGATTTTTGAGACAGACTCTCATGTAGCCTAAGCTGACCTCAAACCTTGAATGTAGCCATCGATAGCCTTGAACTCCTGACCCCACTGACCCCACCTGGATTGCGCCCATGTCCTGTTGTTTTTTGAGACAAGGTCTTGCCATGTAGCCCAGATGGCTGAGGCCATCTGAGAGCTGAGATGGCCAGCATTTGCCATCAAGCCTGGTGGAGTTTAGTAAATATTTAACCACATTACTTAGTTCTTTATACCTCAAACTCTTTATTTATAAAAGGTTATTTAAAAAGGAGACAAGCAAACCCCTTCATCAGGCAGCTCCCTGGGGTTCACTGGCCAGCCAGCCTAGCCCACTGGGTGAACTCCAAGCCAATCAGTGACCCCCGCTTGGGGCTGGAGTCTGGCTCAGTGGTTGAGAGCACCAGCTGCTTTTCCAGAGGACCCGTGTGGACTGCTGAGCTTCCTTAGTCCGTGTGCACAGTTGGATGGCCAC